TAAGTTGCAAATTGCATGTTAAATGCTGAATTGAGTGTTTCAATATTCCTAAATATCACAAAGCATTTGTTCTATGGATTTATCAAGATAATAAGTTGGTTATTGTTGAATTGAATACATAATAATGTAACTACAGTGAATAAGCGCCAACTATACTTTATCAGAGGCTTTCATAAGGAAACTCTGAATCACAGAAGTTTACAGAGAGAGAAATGAAAAGCAGTTACACTCACAGAAAATGAAAAAATGGAATGTTCTTACATAAACAATCTGTAGCTGCAGCTGTTTGCTTTTCGAGGGAAAAGCTGCTCAAAACTGCTGGGCGGGACCTGGCATAGGCACAATATAGTGGGCCAATGTGTGTCATGGGGCGCCGCCTGTGTATGACACACACACAGCTTTTAGACACGATCACCTTTCTTCTCTTCATGCAAGAGTGAAAGGAATTCCCCTGTGAGTGGAGAGTTCTGCACTTTCCCATATTACATGGATGCGCTCTCGACATTTGTCATTAAAATAAAAATGCCTAAGGCACCAAAAATGCCAGAATCGCCACTGGGTGTAGAACTACTTTTCTCCGTAATAATACGCAAACAATTTAGTGCCTTTCTGTATTTGCGCTCTGTAGAACATCAAAGGTTTCTATTTACAATGTGTTTTTGCAGAGCTGAGCACTGTAGCCAATCACAAACATATCTGTTGATTTCTTGAACGCAATGGCCAATCAGAAAGTTGGCACTAAAAAAAAACTCTGGCATTTTGAGCGGTGAGTGGACTCTGAGTTCTGCACGCTCGCAAATCCTCTCACTATAACAATTATGATATGATATTCATTGAGCAGCCGGCTTCATTTATTATAATGAAACTTTGTGAGATCGTGATGAACTAAGATGAGCAGGGGCGCCGCTAAGGGGGGGGGGGGGGGGGGGAGTTAGGACGATTCTAAGGGCCCACATTCTTTTGGGGCCCCCAGAGATTGATTTTATTAATGGATGGGTGCGGTGGGGGGGCCCAACCTCATATTCTTTCATAGGGCCCAAAATTTTTAGCGGCGCCCCTGAAGATGAGGGACAGCTTTTAGGTGATTATAAATGGAGTGCTCTTTCTGTCATGCCAAATCCTGCATAAAGTGCTTGCTTTTCTGTTGCGTTCTGGATACTCTGTTTTGTTTCTCGTTGCATACAGTCTAACACGTAGCATTTCAAAGTATATGCTCCGTTGATAGTGAGAATGAGCGCCGACACCGGTCGACACATGCGCTCTAAAAAGTTCTATCTTTGTCTAGCACATAACAGGCATAATACTGGTATAAACATGAGCATCTATTGGTACAATATGCGTCACATGACTAAATTTACGTCATCGTTCTGTGAATACCACCGGTTTCACAGTCCACACTACAATGCGAAAACGGCGTTTTCAAATGTATCCACTTTGGAGTGCGTTTTCAAAAAATCTTAATTTTCGTTAATAGAAACGCCGGCTCAGTGTGGACGGAAGGCCAAAACGGAGAGAAAAATATACGTTTTAGTGAAAGAAAACTTATTAGTGTGGACATGGCCTTAAAAACGTGGCGCTGTTCGTCTCATCCGGTGTGCGACCCCCTTTAATGTGCTGTTTTCTTTGAAGCCGAAGAACTACATACTGGCGAGCTTACTTTTTTCGGGTGTGGACAGAGTGTTTCACTCTAGCTGCGCGGGCGAGGGCGAGCCGAGCGTTGCGTCGTCTTCTTTGATAGGTGTCCGCAGGTGCAATACAGCCACCTGATAGGTCAACCGGGTACTGCCGCTGGAGTATTTACGTGTCATGTTATCTAAGAGTCCTATTCTTTTTAAAGGGGTGGTATAATGCCCTTTTCACAAGATGTAAAATAAGTCTCTGATGTCCCCAGAGTGTGTATGTGAAGTTTTAGCTCAAAATACCCCACAGATATTTTTATATAGCATGTTAAAGTTGTCACTTTTTGAGGGTGAGCAAAAACGCACTGTTTTTGTGTCTGTCCCTTTAAATGCAAATGAGCTGCTGCTCCCAGCACGGGGCGGAGCTTCAAGAGCTTGTGTTCTTTTACCTCACACAGTAATGCACTGAAAATTTCTAAAACTTTTAGCCTTTTATGTTCAAACCGGAGTCAGACAAAGATGAAGAGACTGAAAAAGAAGTGACAACATGTAGACAACATTTCTGAAAGGTTAGTTGAGGTGTGGGTAACACGCTGAACCCCGCTCGTGATCAGGACTGGGGATTGAAACTGTTTCCCATCAAAGAGGAATTACCAGTAAGCACGGGTCATAAGCTCGCGTTGATAAAGTCCCTGCCCTTTGTACACACCACCCGTTGCTACTACCGATTAGGTGGTTTATTGAGGTCCTTGGATCGGCCCCGCCGGGGCTCCTCATTGGGTCCTGGAGGAGCGTCGAGAAGACGATCAAACTTGACCAGCTAGAGATAGTAAAAGTCGTAACAAGGTTTCCGTAGCTGAACCTGCGGAAGGATCATTACAGGTCTCCGGGCCTAGGGAGGTGCCAGCCTCTACCCAGGACAAAAATCAAATGCCCTGACAGGTACCCGTAGGGGGAAGGGGACGGAAGGGGACCGTGGGTTTAAAGACCTCCTCCTCCCTCCGGGGGGAGTGGTCGCCCGTCCGGGTCTCGCCACCAATCCTTTTTTTTTCCTTCCCATGCCTTGGTTTGTGTTGGTCAGCCTCGAAACAAAAACACTCAAGTGTACAACTGTTAGCGGTGGATCACTCGGCTCGTGAGTCGCCCCGTCGCCCCGAGGTCCTGGGTGTCCTCCTTCCGCAGCTGCCGGAGCTTCAAAACCACTGCTGTCCGCGCGAGGCTCACCCGCCTCGGTCGACGGACGTGGTTCGCGGTGGGACGCCCCTAGGTCGCCGGCCAGCCCCGCTCAACCCCCTCACCGGGGTTCTGTGGGCGGACACTTCCAAACCCCAGCTTCGACCTCAGATCAGGCGAGACGACCCGCTGAATTTAAGCATATTACTAAGCGGAGGAAAAGAAACTAACAAGGATTCCCTCAGTAGCGGCGAGCGAAGAGGGAAGAGCCCAGCGCCTAATCCCCGTCCCCTCAGCCAGGGGGAGGGAATTGTGGCGTACGGAAGACCGCTCTCCCGGCGCACGCCGGGGGTCTAAGTCCTTCTGATGGAGGCTTAGCCCGTGGACGGTGTGAGGCCGGTAAAGGCCCCCACCCCGCCGGGGTACGGTTCTTCTCAGAGTCGGGTTGCTTGGGAATGCAGCCCAAAGTGGGTGGTAAACTCCATCCCAGGCTAAATAACGTCACGAGACCGATAGCGGACAAGTACCGTGAGGGAAAGTTGAAAAGAACTTTGAAGAGAGAGTTCAACAGGGCATGAAACCGTTAAGAGGTAAACTGGTGGGGTCCGCACGGGCCGCCCGAAGGGTTCAAACCGGCGGGCGGGTCGGCCCGGCTGGCACGATCGGATCCCTCGACAGGGGACCGTCCGTCGGCTGCGAGCTCGGCCTCCGTCGGGCGCACTTCCTCCACGGCGGTGCGCCGCGACCGGCTCCGGTTTGTCCAGGAAGGGTCAGGGGGCGAAGGTGGCTCGGATCCCTCAGGCCCTTTGCTTTACAGCGCCCTCCTGCTCCGACTTTGCCGCTCTCCCCGGGGCCGCGGGCAGTGTCCGCCGCGCCTTCCCTCCTCCGGGAGGGACGGGCCCCCCCGCCCCCGACGCGTGCGTCGCCCGGACCGGACTGTCCCCAGAGAGCATCAAGCTTTTAAACTGCTTAACGTGTGTAAATTCAGTTATGCTGTCTTGTTGACTTTATTAGTCAATATTAATTATAAAACAAATTAATGAAACAAGTTATACTATACATTTACTAAAGGAAACATAATTTATTTTGTTCCCAAAACAACACCAATGTTTTCAATTAATAAAAAATAAATAAACACTAGTCAAACAGATCATTCACAACACTGAAATTCACACTGTGAGTTGCGAATACGCAATACAATGTACAAAATAAATTCAACACCATTACATTTTTAAACAGCACTGCACAAACAGAGCCAGGAAAATACTTTTGGTTTGTATTTAAAGTCACAAAACGTCTCTATGTCATCGCAGTACAGCGTGTAAGGAGTCTCCCAAATGATTACTTTCATTTTAACTTGTGACATAATGTCATCACCACTAATGCAGAGTAACAACAGATCACTTTTACTCCACCGAATCTGCGTTCATCTTTGAGCAAAAATTGAAAATGAAGTCTCTAATATCTTTTCTTATTGTTGACGTGCTTACGTCTGCATGGTAAGAATTTTTTTATACACTATCTCTATTGTATAAACTATCTCTTTTCCCGAAAGACAAATATTATTAAACAAAGTTTAATAATATTCTCAATTAACTTTATTTTCGACGGATATTCGTGTATTGTTTGTCTTTTGCTCCATCAATGTAAGACATGATCTGTTTTCTGGTCAACTATAAAAATGAACGATGAACGAAATTCACGGCCCAGCCCAGCATCATTCAAAACATATGGCCAAGATATTAAATATGTCCCTGTCAATGTGCAGTTGTAGTGACATGGTATAAAAACCTCTGAAAGTAACATGGCTTCATATCGTGAGTAAATGTTGATACCTGTGCATAAACTGATCAAATGTGCATTGAATGTAGTGTAAGAAGCTTTGGATGAATAAAAGTGTAAAAGAAAACATGTAATTTGATTTAAGTGCAAGATTGAAACAGTAAAAAATATGATTAAAATAATAAACGTTCCATTGTAACTTAATGTTTTGGGAAAGGGCAAAATTGTCTTACATATTATTATGGATAATACTCATAATATTCATGTGTTGTAAGATAACATAAGTTGAACATAAGTTGTTCAAGATCCTCCATGAGACTCGTGAATTATAAATACAGACATCTACTCACAATCTTTATGATGTGTAGAATTTTTATTTTTATTTACATTTTTCTTCAGATGTGTTTGGTGTTGATAGAGTGGAAGTGTCAGTGATGGAGGGAGATTCAGTCACTCTAAACACTGGTGTTCAAACAAACCAACAATACCTGATTAAATGGTATTATAATGGCATTCATATCACTCAGATCAATAGAGATCTCAGTTATAACTGTACAGATATTCAGTGTGATGAAGATACTGAGAGATTCAGAGGCAGACTGAAGCTGGACCATCAGACTGGATCTCTGACCATCACAAACATCACAAACACAGACTCTGGAATGTATACACTACTGATCTTCAGCGACAGCAGAAGATTAAGTTTAAAGATCTTGAGTGTTTCTGTTAATGGTAAGTCGTCATGTTTAAAAGCAAGTCTTGTACATTTAAATCACATCATTAATGTTTAGTGATATTTTTGCAGTCACATTCAGGTGTGTTTTTTTTTTTCATTTTCTTTACCTGTTTATTAATTCACACACAGCATATCTATCATTTCCTCAAAAACACATTTATTCTTACAGTGTAATTTATAGCTTTAATACTTAATGTAATCAGTAATGTTACTAGTGTAAGTCACCAACGCTATCTCACGACCAATTCGTACAAATTTGTACGAATGATTAAAAGGTGGCTAATTCGTAACAATTCATACGACCTGGCTCGTACGGATTCGTATGATTTGTCTAAACCCACGTGATGGGTAGGTTTAGGGGCGGGGTCAGGGGTAGGTCATTCGTATGAATTCATACGAATTTGAAATTCGTAAAATGTACGATTTAGCAAAAATCCTACAAATTCGTACGAATTGGTCGTGAGATCGGGTTGGAGTCACTGTGGGTGAATAAAAGTGTTTGAGATTTATGTAAGGACTGTATTCTGTGCTGGAACAGGTGGATTTGTATCCGCACTGGTGCGTCGGTAAGAACACATAAGACTCAGTTGAACCAGAACTTGAAGTTTACTGATGATTCAGTTATGATAACAGTGAGTGGTCTGAAATATCAATTAATAACAATAAAATATCAGGTTACAAATAAATCAGTAACATTAGCATAGGCAATAATCCAGGTTACATTATTAAAGTTGTTGCAGTACTTAGTTTGTCCACAAGATGGCATTGAGAGCTCATAGACAGTATGCTCAGACATGGCATTAGATATAAAAAAGACGCCATTTTAATGTGCTCTTATAGGCAGTGATGGCGGATAAAGAAACTTCACATAATGCAATTTATATACCAATATAGGTGAATAACAATATAAATCGCCATCCAGAGATATCACACTATAATGGTAGGCTACTCAGGCATTAGTTCTACATGTCGTAAATTGTGAACTTTGGCGCTAACGCGGATTGCCGCGATGGAAACCATATGAAGTTGTTGTACATCAATAAAGAACACAAATCTACTTTCAAAGAACAGAAAGGTCACAGGATAATAGGAAATAAACAACTTACATTCTGGTCATTAACTCGCTCACATAAGTGTACTACCAAAGGAAAAGGAGATACAATTCTGCATGACATGAGCATTTTTAGTTCGTTTTTTGCTGACTGCGAGGCACTGACTAACGTCATTCAGTAAACAGCGCTGATTGGCTGAATCCTTCTTAACAAAAAGTGTAAATGAAAACATGTTATTTAAGTGTAGGCTAAGATTGAAACGGTAAAATAATAATGATACAATTTTTTTTCTTCCATTGTATCTTAATGTTTTGGGAAATGGCACAATTTCCTGGAGTATCAAAATATTCATGGTTGATGTTCATTAAGTGAATGTTCACGTTGAATCCAGACATATCTCTCTACTCACAATCTTTATGGTATGTAGGAAAGCATTTTCAAAGCACTATTGTTGGGGATTGCCCCACTGTATGCCGGTTCTTTAATGTTCGTAACCACTTCAGTACTCTGATCAGGGAGTATGAGTCATCATATCTTTTCCACCTTTTATTTATGTGCAGGGTTTTACCATATAAACATATGAACTATGCATTGGAGGTAGTTTCTGCAATAAACAAATAAACAGAAGTAAATAACTAAATGTTAAACATACATGCACACATACTGTTGTGATAAACAGTACATTACCAATTAAACAATTTCAACAGCTCTCTCAAAGTGTGTTTAGCAGAATAAGAAACAAGCAAACAGAATATAACAGAGCAAACAACTAAAGGTAGCCTACATTATACAACGTCCTCGTTATGTTATTAAAGTATAATAAATATAGAATATCTTATACAGATACATAGCTACATAGTTAAACGAAGTATGGCCGATATTAGTAAGATAAGCCACGATGCTGGCGGCACTTTCACGTGCGTTTCACATGACAACTAATTAACATATAGATCGCGAAACACCCGCGCACACTACACGCGACACCATTCATTTCAATGGTGAGCGCGACATCGACCGTTGGCGACTAGATGGGGCGTGTCTGGCGACGCGACAAAGTTGAGAAATCTTTTACTTTATGCAAATGAAGAGCGATTTTCGCGAGCGACAACCAATAGGAGTGGAGCGCACGGGGGATCAGGGGACCCACCCTCCGCAGCAGCACATCAAACTGGGTCCTGTCCAGCCTGAAGTACTGCTGGAACCGGACTTCATCCAGCCGCAGTTCCTGCACCAGCCGGTGGTACTCGCCGTGCTGTCTCCGAGCCCGAATGGTCTCGTGAACCCAGATAGACCGGCGTTTGCGCTTATGCCGTAGATAAACGGCCGCAACGAGAAAATTCGACTTCTGTGTCTCGTTCATCTTCATGCTTCACTACAGACGTTTTTATGTACGGAGTATTTATATTTAGTATTTTCCCTCCAAAAATTGTGTTTTTTAGCGGCAAAAAAGCTGATTCGCTGTCTTTTGGATGTCATACTAGTCAACCAGTAGTGGGAACGCCCACTAGCGACCTCATCGCCAGCGACTGGCTACTTGCAGCGACAAAGTCGCGTGTAGTGTGAACGGGGCTTTAATGTCAGAGATAATCTCAGCAGTATAAACATACAGTATTACGAATATAAAGGTCAGGAAATAAACTCACTTCGTCAATAACTTTTGTCCTGCACTCAGAGATACTGCACGGGTGGATAATTGCGTCATATTCTGACTGCTCCGTATGCGTAACTGAGAACGCGTCACTTACGCCAAAACAGCATCCAAAAAAATTGCGTACTACGTACTTTCCACATGTATTAAGTATTCTACATAATACCCCCTTCAAGGATTCAAGGATATAGAATACAGCAGTAAATAATACTTAGACATAAAGTGCAAAGAATTCACAACAACTATTATGCATTTATTTGGCTAATGTTAATTGTTTCTTTATCAGGTGTGTTTGCTTATACAGAACAAGTGTGAGTGAAGGAGGGAGATTCAGTCACTCTAAACTCTGGTGTTCAAACAAACCAACAAGACCTGATTGAATGGGATTATGATGGTATTCTCATCGCTCTATTCAATAGAGATCTCAGTTAGGCCTATTACTGTACAGATGTTCAGTGTGTGATGAAGGTAATGAGATTCAGAGACAGACTGAAGCTGGATCATCACACTGGATCTCTGACCATCATGGACATCAGAAACACAGACTCTGGAGATTATACACTACAGATCATTAACATCAGCAACAGCAGTGAAAGTGAAAAGTTCTTCTGTGTTTCTGTTTATGGTGAGTCATTATGGTAAAAGCAAGTCTTGTCCATTTAAAACACATCATTAATGTGTTTAGTGAAATAATTTTGCAGTGACATTCAGGCGTGTTTTTTATCTTTACCGGTATATTAATTCACACACAACATCTACACTACCAGTCCTAAGTTTTGGATCAGTAAGATTGTTCATGTTTTTAAAAGTAATCTCTTCCGCTGACCAGAGGCTGCATTTATTAAAAAAATAAATAAAAAAAATTGTGAAATATTATTACAATGTAAAACAGCTGTTATTTTTATTTTGTAAATGACATTTTGAAAGATATTAAAATAGAAAACCATTATTTTAAATTGTTTTAAACAGTGTTTTAATTTTTTTAACCAAATAAATGTAGCCTTTGCGCAGAAGAGACTCATTTCAAAAATATTAAAAATCTTACCAAAACTATTGATTGGTAGTGTAGATAATTTCTTTAAAATCACATTTACTCTTAGAGTGTAATTTATTGCGGTAACTTCAAATTATGATTTAAAAACAAACTAGTTTTTCTACTAGTGGTAGTTTAAACTGTTTTGTTCTGGTCAATATCATCTCTTTATCACCTTTTATTATCATCAATTTAAATACATCAATTTATTTTTTAATTCACCAAGAATCCAAAGTGCAGTAGATTTGAAGTTAACACAAAATATGTTCATAAAATGTTATATCAACCCAGTAAATGTTTTCATTGAGGTCTGTTTGACAAAGTGTTCTTCACATGCACATCAAATAACACACAATTGTATCAACAAACAAGTTATGTTCACATTTCTAATGTAATTAAGATGAAAAATGAATGTATGAATAGTCAGTGTTTCTGTGCTGGTGTTGCAGTTTCCAGTGCTTGATGCTGTTTTAACTTAGCCTGGTAATACCAGACTCTGCTACTTCACTTTGCTTCGTAGACAGAGTCTGGAATAGCATAATAGAGAAGTGTTTTCTCTCTCGCTAGGGGGCGCTTGTCTGAAGTTTAAAATCATTGGTTACCCATAAGCCAATCAGATAAGTTTATTTATGACGTATGTTATGCGCAGACACAGCCGCATCGAACCACAGACATCATGCATCGAACTCAAATCTATGATCGAAGTTCCACTGTAAACCTGCTGTAAACACTTGATGATGCAGCGAAATACCGGAGTGAACATGGCTGTAAACGACTTTTTTGATCGGTCGGTGAGGGAGAGAGAGAGAGAGAGAGAGAGAGAGAGAGAGAGAGAGAGAGAGAGAGAGAGAGAGAGAGAGAGAGAGAGAGAGAGAGAGAGAGAGAGAGAGCGCACGCACGCACTCTCACGTCTTCAAACAACACGAGCGCTGTCTTGCTCTCTCTCCCTCGCGCATATTAATCAAAATCAATCGACAAGTTAGTAAAAGGTCGGAAGACCGCGGTTTCACGTGGAGCATTTGGAGATTTTTAGAGATTAGAGACTCTAGGAACAACATCTCAATGAACAACATCTCAACACTAAATTATAAAGGCCTGTCTCATATAGACGCCTGTCTCAAATACAAGCCGGTGCAGTTCGACGATTTGGGCAAATAAAAGCCTGGGCTATTATTTGAAGTTTTACGGTATTTAAGACCTGGAAAAGAAAGGAGACACTGACCTGTCTAAAGGCTCCCCAGTTTCTCGCTGACGATCGGTAATAGTTGATAAATTAAACTTTTCCCAAAGGGAGTAGGGCCACAACATCACCTCCATTCAAAATGTTTAATACACACTCTTCTTGTTCGGGCTTCAGTTTGCTAATGCCGGGAATATTCTCCACAACAGAGCGAATTGCATCCGCGTCTCCATATCCGCGGTCGTTTTCGATTTCCCTGACCTAATCTTAAACTCGGCGCTTAGCGACTACGTCACGGCTTTCAGCCCGCCCTCTGTTCGTTGATTGGCCAGGCTGTTTTCAGGCCGGTGGAAAACGGATAGATAGGCCGCTATCTCAGACTGAGTACAGAAGTGAAATGAAATTGAGCGGAAGTACGAAGTGTGACGTAGTCAGGCTAGTTTTAACTGCTAGTTCTTCAAAAACACACAAGATGGAGCTATTCACCAGTTAAATCAACATCACACAACTGATGACCAAAGTAGAAAAATGTATCAATAGATATCATACAAAAATACTGTTGAAGTTGATTTATTAGTCACTTTGTAAATAACAAGCTCTTCCAGGTCCAGGTCCGACTATGTTCCGGTCAGGAATATATGCAGGTGTTGCTGTTGCTGTTATTCTTCTGATTGTTGCTGTGATTTGCTGTTACAAGCACAAAGCAAGAAGGAACGGTGAGTGTAACATACAAATGATTTAATAAGATTGAAATAAGAGATTTAAAAACATCTTTAAAATATTTTTTTTTACTCTAACTAAAATAAAGTGTTTAATTGAGTTTGTTGTTTTTCCTCCAAAAGCTAACAGGACAAAGCGCGATAAACAGGTGAGAAACTACATGAATCTGTCTGACTGCAAAACAGATTCACATCTGTGCGCTGATTAAATGTTTGTGTGTGATTTACATTTTATATTATTATATACTTAGAATAATTTATTTAAATAATATTTCAAATGTGCAGGTTCTTTATGGAAGATGAATTATTGTTTTAAATGTGAAGAGAAACATTTTAAGATATTTAGTTATTTTTTGCAATTCCAAGCCTTTGTGTAACTCAAAACATCAATCTGTTTTATGTATTTGACCTTTTGTGAATCTGTGTTTTTTTATATAACAGGCAAGTGGAGCTGAAGACTCGTCCCCTGATCAGGATGCGCTTTTTTGATGAAGACTCTCAGAGACTCGAACCTTAATCAGACTGAGGCTGAGGCGGCCAATGAGACGCTTATTAACACCTACATAACACTTATTATTATACTTGAGCGTGTTGTTACCATCTTTCAATTAATAACCTGTTTGTACCTCTTCAGTCAGGTTTTCGTAAATTCCACGGTACTGAAACGGCTTTGGTCAAAGTTACCAATGATTTGTTGATGGCTTTTGACTCTGGTGTAATTTCCATTCTCATCCTTCTTGATTTAAGTGCAGCTTTTGATACTGTTGATCATAGTCTATTACTCGCCCGCCATGAACAAGATTTTGGTGTCGGGACAGCTTTGTATTGGTTTAAATCCTATTTCATTGACCGTTCTCAGTTCGTTTCCATGGGCGACTTCAGGTCTGAGATTAGCTCTGTTCTCACTGGTGTTCCCCAGGGCTCAGTCTTGGGCCCTCTGCTCTTTAATATTTATCTGTCACCACTTGGTCATTTGTTGCGATCACTTGGCCTCTATTTTTGATACTAGTCTTTCATTTGATTCTTTTGTTCAGAGTACAGTTAAATCATCCTTTATTTCACCTCAGAAATATAGCAAGATTACGTCCTATGCTAAATGTAATCATAATTTTTAAATTATGCTCCTGACATATAAAGCATTGCATGGCTTGGCTCCTTATTATTGATTTGAATTGTTCATTTTTCCTATACCACAATTAGACTGCAATCTTCACAATCCAACTTGTTGGTTGTTCCTCATACACGCTTACGATCTATGGGTGACAGGGTTTTTACTTCATATGGTCCTGTCCTTTGGAATTCTCTGCCACTTGATCTTAGGAAAGCTCAGAGCATTTTTAAAGGTAGACTTAAGACATCTTTTTTTTTTAAATTAGCATTTCATTGTTGATGTTACTTTTATTATTTGAGCATTCAGTATGAATATGTTAGCCTTAAAGGGTTAGTTCACCCAAAAATGAAAATTCTCTCAGTAATTACTCACTCTATTCAAACACCGTAAGACTTTCGTTCATCTTCGCAACGCAAATTAAGATATTTTTTATGAAATCTGAGAGCTGTCTTACTCCTTCATTGGCTGCAAGAAAATCAATATGTGCCGGCCCCGAAAGTTAGTAAAGACAATGTTTAAAATAGTCCAAGTGACTACAGTGGCTCAACCTTAAGATTATCAAGCGACAAGAATACTTTCTGTGCGCAAAAAAACAACAACTAAACTAATGACTTTATTGAACTC